GGGCAGCAACAAGGGGGAAAAAACATCGTTGCTCGATGAAGGGAAACGCGGTGTCGGATTTCGTGACCGCGGGAATAATCGCTGGGCTGCTCCTTACTGTCGTCGCCTTCTCTGGTGAGTCCCATGTTCAGTATATATGAGTAGAAAATCAGAAGGAACAAAATAAAAGAAGGCCCGAATAATTTTTCGCACGCTTATTCTTCTTTGCATAGTATTTCCTTTTTTTCTTATTTTCAACCACGAGAGTTTGAAGATTAAACAAATGGGATTGTTTGTTTGGAAACTCTGCCCTGCAGGGATCGTCACGATGCTGCTGCGGACCTGAATCAAAAGATTCTTTTGAGAAAGTTCATGCATACGACCCAATACAAAATTTTCTTTTTAACGTGAATAAATGCAAGGAATAACAAACCGACGCCAGATATCAGTTACCGTACTTTCATTATATATGCATGACGAAATTTTGTGAAAAAAGAATTTCAGAGAGAATTGGCTGCAGAAAATTTCCATTATCGCATTGATAAAGTACGATGTTCGTTCTATGAGCCATTTTTCCGATTTCTGGAAGTTTCGTAGGCGGTTCGTTCGTAATACGAGGCGTTCAATTGACAATAAGACATCAGTGTATTATTTTGAGATTCCATTGCGGCAACCTTTGTTCGATGATGAAGCAACGGGTGGAATTACATTTTCAATAGGATACCATGATGATACTGTGCTGCTACCTCATTAATCCGGAGACAATAAAATAAATATTGTGGGATTGACAATATACTAATACCCCGTTAAATCTGGAGAAAATGACCTGCTAAATATTATCGACTCGTCAATAACTTAAACTTCTTGTCTGATGAAGAACTGTGGTGTACAGTATACTGGATTAGTGGCCAGATTTTAAAGAGTGAGGCGCATTCACTATTTATTTAAGGGTCTCAAATTCGGACGATGCTCTTTGGTAGTTCGGTGAGTAAGAGTTTATGAATATGTTGACGTCAGAAACGCAATTAGAGATATTAATCAGGATAAGCAAAAGCACAACAGGGAAACGAAGTTTGATTATCTTTAAATCATCGAAATCATGAAGTTTTGTTTAGTAATTCCACAAACGCTCCGGCTTCACTGATGTTCGCCAGCAACAACAACAAAAAAGAAGGCATATACTGTAAATCATTCCATTATAAGTACTACAACCACACACAAAAAAAA